AAAAGAGAAAAAAGGTTTGCACACACATTCTTCAAGGTTGGAGGTGCTGGAATCGGCAAGATAAACACGTTACCAGAGTGTTTGTGGCATAGAAACCGCATCCTCAAATATATATATATATATATATGTGTATATAAGGATGGAGGATTTTTTCTGAACCTTATGAAACACTGAACGAAACACTGTTGTCAGTTTTAAGAAATATACTGACTAAATATATTTTTGCAGGTTGAGTATTAGGTCACTTGTCGGGAAAACATACTGTGAACAGGTTGGATATGAACACAAATTCAATGTTGCTTTATTTCTGGTGACGACATTATATTCACTGCTCCAAGTGTCCATCTGCTGAGGTTATTAGTCACAAGAGTCACTGTGTGGAGGAGCCTCCTGGGTCTTTCTGTGGTCTGTCTTGCAAGAAAAGTATTGATGTCCCACTTACAAACATTCTAGATACCTTTCTCATTTGATAAAGACACATTTGCGCTAAAGAAAACACAAAAACACCTGCATTCCAAAAGTGCTGCACTTGTGTTTTTATGAATAAAAAAGAGAGGCACTCCTAATACTTTGCACACCTCCATCTTTAGATGGAGAATATGACAGATATTTATTTATTTAGATTTATTGTCAACAGGCAAGTTACTGTAGTTAGCCAGCAGCAGATAGGAAAAAGAAGAGGCTTCACTTAATGTTTCAGTGTACCAAACATACATCATAGCTGCCTGTAATGATGCTGATTGCAACCACTTTCAAATGGAAGTACCCATTTATGTACACACAGCAACCATTGTTTTGTACTTAGCAACTGGCTTTTGCATTCTGTAATGAGGAAAAAACAGTCAGAACATTCTGCTAAAAATCTCCTTAAACAATCATTGGCTCTCTCAACCATACATACCTGTAGACCATTAAAATATAGCTCTCTGTTTGAATCAAATCCATTCCAGGGTTAAAACTTAAGTTTGTTGATATAGATGAGGCAACCAAGGACTTTGTTATGGCAATATTAAATTCCTTGACTGTCTAAGGGGACATTCAGATTCTGCAAAAAACCTGCGACTGCATGACTATGATGATGAAGTTCTGATAATTTAACAGTAAGCCTCACTGACTATACTAACTTAACTAATTAGTCAAAACAAATATATATGGATTTCCACCACCTTAAATCCCTCACACACAAACTAAATGAGCAAGCACATCTAGTTAGTAATGTAAAAACAGCATATCATCATGCTTACCACTTATCCGAAGGTCTGAGCTTTATATGTCGTCAGGCATTGTTCCTTCCTTCTGTCAAAATAATTTGGTCGTACAACCCAAAGTATCCCTGGACGAGTATCAGCTGCTCCTCCATTTTCAGTTTGACCTCTCAACCCGATGTTGCTACCTCCTTGTACAGAAAAGATGAAGCAAGTCCTATGTGATATAGGTGATTGGTTAATTCTTGTCAAATTACCTGTGGTGCACTTGCTGCATTAGAAAAAGTAGAATTTTTCCATCATGATGCGATGTGGACGCGCCCATGAAAACAGACATGCCACAACAAATGCTGTGACAGCGTTGCTTTCAGTTGTGTTTGTTCAGTTTTGTTCAGTGTGGCATAGTTGCAGCATCAATCCAATCAAAATAAGGAATTTGTGTGTGCAAAAGACATCTGAACAGCCCCTAAATCAGTCTGAGTAAGTTTGTCAATTGTAGACTTTTGACCGAACAGCTTTCAGCCTTTTAAAAGTAGGGCATAATGTTTTAAAAAGTGCAAGTAATCTCAGATTATATCTGAACATCATCGCTTTACCTTCTTAGTCACTGTTTAATAATTTGGTCAAATAATCTGCTGGAATATGCAACCAAAATAACAAAACATGTGGCATAGAAAAAAAAAGAACTTTTACTGCCCGCCTTTAAATGATTATCTGCTTAATGGACAGGCTCTTACTTTAAAGCAATCAGCAGCTAAAACTGTTTCTTTGGCAAATATTTAGGGTAATATTTACATTAATCCTGCATTATTTAAAATTCATATAGAATTTATATACACAAAAGCAAGCAGACTAAAAGTAACATTGATGTTACATACATTCAATCTTGTTAGGTCCAGTGTGTAACATTTAGGAGGATCTATTGGCAGAAATGGAACATAATATTAATAGGTATGTTTTTATTAGTGTATAATCCCCTTAAAATAAGAATTGTTGTGTTTTTGTTACCTTAGGCAAATCCCTCCAGCTCAAGTCCGCTGTAAAAAGGAAGAGGTTGTCCAGATACACATCAGAATGGCAGACCACAAATGGATCAGTCCTTTCAGTGGGACTATTAACTGGCTATTTTCTGTCACCCATGGTGGACTGTGTGACCTAAAGCAACGTTCAGCAAAGAGAGAGTGGAATCGCTAATTCATGAAACCCCAGAACTGTACTGTTGTTATTATCTACTGTGTTTAGAGCACTGACATACAGTCAGTGGATAAGCGTAATTAATCATCGTTCTCCAGATACAGTTCTGTTTCAGCAGAAGACCCACCCCCCTCCGTGCATAAGAGCATATACTGTCAATGGTGTGTGTGTGTGCCCTAAAGACATTTTGCCCATGTCTATGATCTGATGTTCTGATCCTTCATATAATTGATGCAGCTCTGCCTGACTATTGGCTCTTCATTTCCTTTACATTCATGCTGAGAGTGGAAGAGGATTGGTGCATCAGATTTCACCAGAATGCAGGAGATTAAGTGTCTGACACTGAAAATTTATTGGGGGCAGACCCCCAGACCCCCAACTTGACTTGTCCCCCATGGCAGGAGGCCCCTGCCAAGGCGTCCTTTATTTTTCCATGCTGAAGGTGGCAACCCCAGTTGTGTTACTACTTGCCTGATATAGGAATTGACAGCTCGTTATAGTCCGCTTCCAGCTCGGTGGACTGGGTGAATGCGGAGGTCTGGACACAGCCAATGCTGTAGCCACTCTAAATTTCAGTGGGATTACAGGTGCATTTGGTAGATAAATCTGTTACTTTTGTCCTTCCAAGAACAGTTAACATTAGCAGGTCAAGCAGCTAAATCAGAATCAGAATCAAAAATACTTTAATAATCCCCGGGGGGAAATTACTTAATCAACCTCTAAAGAAGAGAGTTTCTGGCAGCTGAGAGTTTACTAATTAGGTTAAGTCTGTATTAAAACATTTAGTTTGTTCATCCATGTGTTTCACATAATTGGGTCACAAAATTGCCTTTGTATTATTGACAAAAACTGTTATACATTTAATCATACACAGATCACTTTTTATTGTATTATCTTCATCGCAAAAAAAGAAGTATTCCTTGTCATAGTGAACGCTGGTGGTGTTGGTACTTGCATTACTTTGTAAGGTGTTTGTAGGTTATATGCTGCAGAGGAGATAAACTGGGTGCAACCTTTAAAAATATGCCATGATAGGAGAGGAAAAAGGGTGTTGATATAATTTATTTGGCCATGTTTTGTTAAATAGAAGACAGGCTGTTAGGACATATAATATTGCAGTTTCTCAGCGCAGTCTTCAGAATGCTGACAAAGAAAAAAAGTCTAGTAAATGTGTAATGTGACCTTGTCTATTCTTGGTCTGAGGTAATGAATGAGTTTGCCAAGTGAGTCTCGGAAAGCAATATGAGGAATCAATTATTTTTGTATTTTTCTGTCGTGTAAAACTGACGAGCTGTATAAGACTTGAATTTTCGATTCCTCAGCCTTGATGCTGCTGTTGATACAGTCATAATCAACCACCTTATGAGAACAGCTCAGTTTGCCTGCGCCTCTCTTAGTCAAGGTCAAACAAGCTCTAACTTTGCATTTCAATGTCCGTCTCCCTCTCACACCATCTCCAAACATGAATCATTTCTCAGGATGCATTTGTATGCCTAATAATGTAATTTGAAAGTAATTTCAAACCCCCAAATCTACACCATTATTGATGACTATGTCAAATGACCTGCAGGTACACAAGCACAAAATCTGCACACACACACACACACACACACGTGCCAGTCGATTTTACCAATTCTACCTCATTAATTCAAACAGTCTGACTTTCTAAACATCATAAATCACAGCAAGACTAGCAGCCCAACCCCTCTCACCCTTTCTCTCCCTCCCACTTTTTTTCAACCTTATCTTCCCTTCCATCTCTCTCTCTATGTCATCTATTCCCTCTTCAATCACTCTCTCATTTTCTCTCTCTCCCCCTCGCTTCTTTGGGAGGTCCAGAAAGTTTGTAGTATGCAGTCTAAATAGTGCTCTGATGGATTGGCTGTCTTCCACGGGCCTGAAGATTAGCCCAAGGGCAAACCCACTCCTGTTTCCTGGGTGCCATGCTGAAGATGAATAACTGTTTATTAACCCGATGCAGAGTGACTCCTTCCCCACCTCATTATTGGAAAGAAAAAAGAAAAGGTTGCTCAGGTTGGCCAGTGTGGCACTCGCTCTCTCTCCCTGTCTCCCTGTCTCTGTCACTCTTCCTGTCTCTCTCTCCGTTCCTCTCTTGCTTTCTCCAGCAGATAAACCAGCAGCCTGATGTAATGTGACAGTGTGCGTTTGGTTCTTGTTTGCTCCCTGACAACCCAGGAAATTGGCTTTTCATCTTACAAAAAACTCTGCACTCTGTATATTAGAGGACATTCATCTTATTATGAGGGGCTGAGGGTAATTGGAGGTTTATGCATCCATTTAATGGCAACGTATTGAGGGCCAGATCTACGAAGGCTTTTGTGGCGTTTCAGTCGCAGATGTGACGCGTTTGGCCCCAAACACACGTGTTATTCGTACAAAACAAGTACACTCAGTTGGAGTTGCAGTTTAAATGTCATTTTAGCAAGCGTTTGCACCTTTCTCCTTATTGTTAATTTGCATTTGAGGAAGGATTGTGCAAATGATCTGTGGAAAAACAGTATGTTAACAGAGGCTTATTATGGAATTTATTAAAGCTCCAGTGTGTAACATTTAGGATGATTTATTGACAGAAATAAAATATAATATTCATAAGTATGTTTTTATTCGTGTATAATCACCTCAATATATATATAATTGTTGTATTTCCCTAACCTTAGAGTGAGATGTGAGATTAATCTACAGAGAAAGCAGGTCCTCTTCCAGGGAGGTGGCCATCTTGAGCTACAATGTTTCTACAGAAGCCCAGAAAGGACAAACTAAAAACTGGCTCTAGATAGGGCTTTCTGCATTTTTCACGGGGTTTGTCGCCACCAAAGTTTCTCCTACACGCCTGGAAGGTCAAGTAGTATTCATATGTTGGCAATCTGCAACTTCACCGCTAGATGCCCTTCAATCCTACACACTGGTCCATTAAGGTCAGTTATGCTTGGAATATGCTTTTGAAAAGTGGGCATAAAAATAGCAACAAAAAAGTTTGTTTTCAATTCAGTGACAAAGTGAGCAAACCACAAACATATCTAGAGATCTGCCATAGTCAGGACCACTTAAGTTTCGTCTGAGATGAGTCCAAATCAGAGCAGTTTCAGTCAAGAGTCAAGATCAAGAAGATCTACAGTAAAAGGTGGATGAGTCTCAGTCAACACTGAGCTTAAGACAAAACAGTTCTTGTTCAATATAAGTTTCTGGTAAACTCCCATAATGTTTGAAGCTAAACTTCTGTAAAAGGTGCCAACACTAAGAGCAGGTGCAAATGGGTGCCATTTAAAATAAAAAAACAACTTTAAGCCACTGATCCACAAAACGTCTGTCCATGTTCATGCGTCATACTGTCTAACTACTCTTCATAGTGAGAGTTCAGTATTTGTTGAAATGTGTTAATTCAACTTTATGGCCTGTAAAATGAAACACAATTCAACAGCACCACAAACTACAGCCTGTGAAATGACTACATTAGTTTTAGTTAGGTAGACCTAATAAACAGGTAATCAGTACTGTCCTTGAGGCAAAAGAAAAGTTTGAAATGTGATAGGATTGGAAACAATGTGCATTTGCCCCGTCTTCAAGAAATTAAGTTCATACAACTAATTTGCAACAGCCAATAAGTTTTGAGGGAAACATAATGCCGAATTACGTTTTCTATTAACAGAATAAGGAAATGTAGTTAATTTGTTTTCAACCAAAATAGGCAATACTATCCACTCCTAGAGACTACAGCACTATGCAAAAGTAAGCAGTGACTTCAGATTTTATGAACATTTAAGTGAAATCATGATCTTTCCCTAACCTTAACTAAAGTGCTGTGTTGCAGGAGCGTGGGCATGGACCCTGGACTGTGGTGTTACAGTCAACGGCCAACCACCTCCTTGTGACTCCATCGCGTTACATAATTGCACTGTTTTATTCACTCAAACAAACATTGTGTCTGAACATAATCCAGGCAGATATTACATCGTTACCACAATGTAATTATGAAAAAAATTAAGTAATATACAAATTTAATTTTCAGGAGACAGGGTTAGCTTAGCAATGTTTGCTAAAGTTTAAAGTTATATCTCTGAAAAATGTGCATTGCTGTATGGAAATGAAAGATGAGTGACAGCAGAGCAGTCTGCAAGTGAGACCAGTGGCTGATTTGGGGATTATGTCTTAATTATACTTGAATTTGAACCTTGAAGTTTAATAAACAGTGAATTCACTACATGTTAGAAACTGATTCGACTTTTTACAATGAGCATTTAGCTGAATTTCCCTAGTGAAACATCCATTATAACAATACACACTGGCCTTGTGCCTGGACTGGGTTTTCACAAGTCAAGAATATACTCATCAATGTGTTATTTCATAGTACACATGTTATTACAGTTAGAGTTGAAAGCAGAAAAAGGATCCCAAATAGATAAACCACTTTGTTTTTACTTAAGCAAGCTGAGCACAGAAGAACTGCTGAAAATGACATACAAGGTTTACTGACTTTCAGTGAGAAATTAGTGAAGGAAATGTAGAATCATATCAAGTATCATCCTGGTAAGTTTTCAGCTCTCGAGAGTATCATCACTGGCCTGCAGAAACCTTGTAACTCCAGTCACCGTGGTAACTGGCATCTGACATTGGACCCACGTGGGGGAAAAAACTGTTTCATTGACCTGAGACTAAACCAAACCATTGAAAACATTTTTAAAACCAAAATATAATCAACCATGACTTACTGAGAGTTTGTATAAGTGGAGAGAAAAGGGTTTTGCAGAACAATTACAGTATGCAAGTACCGTTGTGCACTGTGAATAGTGGCTCAAAGTTTCACAACACCAAATCAAAACAAGTAACTGCAGAAATAGTGTGACTGGCATTTACATGGAAAAGCTACATTACCACTGGAGAATGTTTCTGTTGTTCTGTCTTGGTAGAAATATTGAAATATAAAAAGCAATACAGCCTTCGCTGGGAAATCAAACACAGAAACTAAATGTGCTTCTTATCTTAACATTGACTCTCCATATAAGGCATGAGTTTGTTTTCTTATAAACATTTTTTTGGTCTTTGCACTCGGTTATCTAAAAAGCAATGTGCACTTGTCCACACCTGGGGTTAGATGGAGCATTATTTACAGCGCTGTATCCGCAGACCTTTTTGTTACCACATCAGAAGATTTCTTTATGATTTTCAGCTCAGAGAAAAAAATAACTCAACATTTAAGGTATTTTGCCATTCAGTTTGCCAATGTGTTCACCTTCTTTTGGTATAGACACACCACCAAGGACAGAACATCACTAACAGGCTTCTCACTCCGATGTTAAGCATAGATACTTACAAGTTTTCAAATGCCAGATAAAATGGAGGGGATTAAAAAGAAATATTCAAAGACAGTAACAGGGTTCAGGATTATCAAATTTTAAACTGTTAAGCATAACATAACAACTCATTCACCACATATATAATATTATCCCATTTTCCCTTCCCACGAGATTGTTCTGTAGCCAAAGAAAATAGGGTTAGAAAAGAGGAAATCCTCTTCCATTAACTCATTTTTGAAGACCCCTTACGAGTTCCTCTTTACATATCAAAATCGCCTTTATCTTTGCAAGGCAAAGGTCTAAAGTATACTTAGTGACATCGGCTCTCTAAGGTTCCAGATCACAAAACCTGTCGGTCTAAGAGTTTTTTAGCTTCATCCAGTCGAACAGTTTGCCAAAAGCAGGGCAGTAATAGCAAAAGTAAGCCTCCAGGCTAGTACAGTAGCCTCTGAAAGAAAGTCCAAGTATCAGCTGTTCTCCCAAAAGTCCACAACGTATTGTTCGTCAAAGGACTTGGGTAGCAATTTATGATAAAAATGTGACACCAGAAAACTAGCCAAGAGTGGCCGTAAGAAAAGCCCAGCAGTCAGCCTTTAGAGTTGGATGTTCTATTAATCCAGACAATTTAGGTCCCAGAGGCCAGTTTACTGTAGTAGGACCTCCTCCACTAAGTCTAGGGCTGTCCCTGAAGCACTTTCTATGTGTAGTATCACTCCTGAACCTGACTTGTGTGCTAAGCTAGCTAGCTGCACAGCTGGGCCAGCTCAGGTTCAGGAGAAGCATTGGGAAGCTTGGAGTTGAAGATCTGCAGAGAGTCCTTGATGCGTGCCACCTCTCCAGCCGACAGCTTGAGCCGGTGGCGCAACAGACAAGAAAACAGGTCAAGTGGCTGCGGTGCTGGTGGAGACAGCCGGTTAATCCGGTCTCTCATCTCCAACAACATCAGAAACGCAGCATCCTGTGTACCCTGCGTGTAGGGGTAGTCCAGCTGGAGAATCAGATCCTTGATGCCCTCAGGGTCAAAGTGCATGCTGTATCCAAACACTTTCAGTGTGTTGATCTTCATATACCCCAGGTTTGACGTGTGGTCATCCAAGTCCAACGGTTCATAGAAGAGAGTCTCATTCACTGTTGGATCATCTGTGACGATGCGACTTCGCAGGTAGATGTGCACTGTTTCAAAGAAAGACTTCCATTTGTTGCCCAGAGACAGTGTCCAGTTGTAACACTGTGCCGTGACGACAGTGTCCAGTCGAGTTCTCTCCCAGTCAGGGAATTCAGGCTGGTTAACCGGCATGAACCAGCTTTCGGAGTGACTTCCTCCAAAAGGATTCACATAAATCGCAGGCACAGGCTCCAGTGTTGAATTCTTAGTCGAGCATATCTGGAAAGAAATGCCCATCAGCATGTGGATGAGATTGGACTTGTTTTTGTTACTCTTGAGTGTCAGCAACATCCTCTTTCTCCAGGCAGGATTGAACCAACTTCCCAGGCGGACGTCGTTGCTGATGTAGATGGCGTGGACCTCTATTCTGCTGTCCAGTCGCTGAAGCAGGTACTTCACCTAAAGACGGATTAATAAACTGTGAGATCATATTCACATAATATATATACATGTATGCCCTCCAGTCTGTAACACAGACTTTCTGATGGCCCTGACAACGTCAACTTTCTAAAAAAGCTATTTTACAACTTTTTTTTTTACTGGCTACTCCTCGTAAATTGTAAGCTGGCCTACTCAGTAAAGTGACCTATTAATGTACATCATATTTTAAAACAAAGAATGCAACTTGATCAAAATGGAATTGATTATAAAAAGGCACACAGAATCAGATTCAGAAGAAGAAGACATTTTTTTTCTTTAAATGTCCGTATTAATTTGCTGCTACCTACCTTTGTAAGAAGCTTTTATTATTAGATTGTGTGCATAACTTTGCATGTTTAGTATGCATGTTTAGTATACTGAGTTTGAGACAGGGTGAAATACTGAAAGAGATAAATAAATATATTTAATTTACATTCTCACTTACTTATTAAAGGGTCAACTTATGATGCCATGTTTGTTTCTATCAGGGATAGTAGAATTTGTTGCTGCACTGTAGCATCTATGTAGACTTACAATACAAGCATTTAGTTTGTCATTTTATGGTGTATTTTCATGTGCTATAACTATTGTTATCAGAGGTAAGTATCAATGTTCTTTTGTTTTTGTTTTTTGTCATAGAGTTTAGTGTAGAGTGTAAAGGCAATGTACTATCTTGTCCAAAGATGAATACAAATATAAGAAGCTCTAAGAACCTCAGCATCAGGCATGTCCAAGTCCAAGTTCAGATAGTGGTCCAGGGATGCAGCAATGCTTGGCCGGCAGGATCCAAGATGCAGAAGGTTGCCATGGTGGCAGGCTCCGCAGCGGGTTGCGTTGTCAGTGGCACAAGAGGAGCAGGAGGTGGATGAGGTGCCCACAATGCAGGGAATGACTCCCTGGCAGGTGGGCTGCTCCACAGGACAGATACAGCTCCTCACCTCTTCTGAGAATGAGCCTAGCACTCCATGCTCATTGCAGTAGAGCAGAGACTGGGCCTTGCTCAACCAAAACCCAACAGGCCTGTAGAAGAGAAAGAGAAAAACACAATGATGCAGTTGGGAGTAGAGTATAGTATATTCCAACACAGAACACAGAGTAGGAAACTGTAAGTAATTTGAGCAGAATTTTTTGTTGAAAGTCTGTTTCACTTCTGACCACACTCAACATCCCTGATGGTTGGGTATTGCTTGGTCCTTGGTGTACATAGGGACATGTTGTTGGTTTTACATTTGTATTTGTTTATGAATTAAACAAAGAAGTTGTTAATAAGGGACTTTATTTTGAGCTGTTTCCCCCTAGTCTTTATGCAAAGTTAGGCTAATCACCTCTTGGCTACAGCTCTATATGACCTTTGATCATTTGAGTTTTCGAAGAAAAGCAAATAAATAGAAAATAATTTGAGAGGGAATACCAACTGAGCAGGGCGACCAAAAAGAGACATTCTTAGTAAGCAATTGGCATTCTACAAACATGAATGCTTTGTGGCAAAAAAAATAAGAGCAGGGACCTGGAAGTGGCCCTGAGCAGACGGGAGAAAGAGCTAATGGAGAGAGTCCATGTCCTTGGAGCTGGAGTTTCTCCACCTCCAGCTCAAGAAGGAGAAGGACAAAAGCCATCTGGAAAGAAATGTGTTCATTGGAAAAAATCTAAGGGGCAGTTTGCCTAAAAAGATGAAGTCATTCTCAAAGAGAAGGTGCACTGACCTTCAGGAACAACTGGAACAGGCAAACAAAGAGCTAGATACCTCCCCACCACCGATTATTGTATATCCATCAATGTAGCCTTGGACAAGCTTTGTGACATAGTCAAGGTGTACAAGAAGAACCTGGAGCTAAAGGATAAGCTTGTCACCGTGACCAGACAACTGATCATCCAGCGCAGACAAACTGGAGAGGAAGGACCACATAACAGATGAAAAGTAGAAGAAGCATGAGGAGTTGAAGCACAGTATATCACGGCTGCTACCTCCAGAGACATTATACTTGATCCCCAAGTGCCAGTTGGTAATCAGAGAGCAAAATAAAAAGATCAAGGCGTTAACAGGACAGGAACTGGATCCAAGTAACAGCTGAGGAGTAGAAGAGTGATTATCTGAAATCAGCTGGCGAGGAAGCAGCCAGGAAAAAAGTTGTACCTGAATAAGAGAATGCAGGAACTGGATTTAAGGTAGGCCTTCAAGAAGAATGAAATCAAGTAGCTGACTGAAGACAAATCATGTCCCACCTAGCTCCAAATCATTGCACATGCAGTCAAGAGAAAACAGGGTCACACCAAACCCTAAAATCAAATCTGGTCCGGCTCCCAACCATCTCCAATAAGTTCTAGCTGACGTCGGAAGTTAAATCTATTCACACCTGGACACCTTTCCGAAATGCTCACATTAAATCAGTTATAAGTCAAAAGGCAAATCAGGTCATACCGTTCTTAAACCCATCTCCAGCAAGTATCTCCAGGTACAGTCTGCAGAATGTCAGCCAAACATTGTGACTGTAACAGGCTATGACCAAGACCAAGTTTCTTAAGAGGTGGTGGGAGGAATTCTTCCTGTGATGTATTAAAAAGACCTCAATAAGAAACTGCAAAATAGCAATCTATGGGCAGCTTTGAAAATCATTAATTGTAGTAAGTAATGAATAAAAAACAACAACATGAAAATTAATGAACAATGAATAATAAACCTGGGAAATGTAGTAGTATATCAATATATTAATATATATGTTATATGATAAGAAAATCATGCAAGGAAGTACTGGCAGTGGGACTAGCTGTTACATAGTGACAAGAAAAGACAATTACAAATAACATTGGCGGCTCATAAAGAGGTTAGCGAACAGGTAACTAGCATATATCAGAACTGGAAAGTATTTCTTATTCGAAAGAAGAGCAGAGATTCGTTCTAATGTGAAACACGGTGATAGACCTATGATTAATCCAATCACCAGTTATTTTGAAAATGCCCAGCAACAAGGTGATGGCAGCTTCCTGTGGGATTTCCCTCACTGTCACTGTTATTGACTGTACATACAGTATATTACATTTGTAATAGTCTGCAGTGTTAAGGGATGTGCTGCAGGAAGCTGTCCAAACAGACTGTTATCTTCTAGGCTACTCAATATTTTCTGTACATCACTGTAAAGTGTTAGTGTTTGTTTTTTTGTTAGTAAGTTGTGTCATCCTTCCCATATTTTACATCTCTCCTGTTTTAAAAATATTCTCCGAAGTATAAATTGAGTTAAAAATAAAAAAAAACTTGGATAGGTGGCTCAAATGAGGACGTCCCTAGATTACACTGGTGTTTACACAACATGAATCCCAATTTTCATAGCTGAAAATCTAATTCTAGTCTATATTGTTTATAAATGGGATTATTTATCTATTTTGACACCTTTTTCTTTTAGGAGGTGGGTGTTTGGTATGACAGTGACGATGAAAAGGCAGACATACATAAATTACCATCCACTTTGGTGGGTGCGCTAACAATAGAAACAAGTTCGGACTGAAAATTGGCTCTGCAGAGATTCTTTCCCCAGGCTAAGGAAATCACACACAACATTGCCCAAATGCTCCGGCAATTCCTTCCCCTCAGGCCTTTGTAAATAGACAAAAATGAATGATGATAAAACAAATGGATTTGTGCAGAAGAAATAGGGAGCTTTTGCAGCTGAGCAGCCCCTGATAACTTGTTGTTGCTGGTACGAACTGGGTTAAGACTCTGGAGTGACAGGGTTGAGACAGAGAGAGAGAGAGAGCAAGGCGACACAAAGGTGACTGAGGGAGAGAAATAAAGACAGAAAGCGAGGGAAAGTGCGAGCGGAGGGAGAGTGATGGGTAGAGGGAAAGGACTGTCAGTGAAATTAAAGTCCTCTGTAAACAAGTGCAGAGCTGTCAGACTGGGAGAGGACTTGATTACAGCATGCCACAATACCACGTACCCTACCCCACAAAGGACCCCACCACCGGTAACTAGACCCTTCATCTCTCTCACACTTTCCCTTTCTTAGTTTCCATCCCGTCATCACATCTCTTTTCCGTCTTCCACCTTCTCGTACTACCTTTCCTTCCTCTTTGTCTTTATTTCTCCTGCATTTTCTCTTTCTGACTGTACACATCTCTTTTACTCAGCTTCCCTCCCTATCTTAACACCTGCTTTTTACAAGCCTGTCTTCATTTTCCCCTTCCGCACGGCAACAAAACTGCCACGTAATGACAGCTGAGTGAAGCTCTCGATGGTACTTTGCTCAGAAGTCAACCACAGGTGTAGAATTCACTCAGGCAAAGGGAGTCAGTTAGCCTGTCAAATTATTAGTAGACGGTGGTTTCAACAACAGTGATGCTCTTTTCTTTGTCTGTTCAGCTGAGGAGGCAGAGGGTGCTCATAAGTAGGTATATTTCCACATTTAAGTGCATTATGCAGAGTATGCTTAGAAATTACATCCATATTGGACAATTCTGCACCTCAAGATTTATATCCAGCATTCAGTGCCAATATAGGAAGTAGTGTGCTTGCAACAAGTCATAACGACACATTATGGCAGTGGTTCCCAACCTAGAGGTCACGATCCCACTAGGGGTTTTAAGGGGTGTCAGAAAACCTCAAAATGCAAATTTTACACAAACTTCCTGCAGTCAGTTGACTGTCAGGGGTTTACTCAGTTATAGAAAATGGGTCCTAAAGGAAAAAAGGTAGGGAACCACTAATGCCATTTGTCCATGGCCTTTAGACACACATAAATGTGTTTCGTTCTGACACCCCAGCATGATTTTATTTGAAAAATAAATCTGTTTCATGATTTGTTAATGCGATGGTTAAGGTTTGATAAGGTTTAAACACAATTAGCTGTCTAGGTTTAGGGAAAGGTTAAGAAATCATGGTTTTGGTTGCACTAAGTATTTAGTTAAGTTACCATGGGCCTTCGTCATCATGGTTACAATCAGAAATACATCCAGGATGATTGCGATTCTGCTTCAAAAGCAATGTTGACTGTTGGAAACAGAAAACAAACAGCACTCTCAAATGTTAAAGTCAGATGTTTCATTGACTCATCCACTGACCTCCTCACAAGCACTCTGTCTCTGTGTCTATTAAAACTTGAAAGGTAGTTTATTGGTTATATGGTTGGGAGGACGGTCTCTCTGCATGTTATGCAGCAAGGCCAAAACTAAGAGTTAAATTGTGCTAAAAATGTTCTCTCATGAAGTGTTGTCTGACCATGTTGGGAAGCAAATTTGCTCATAGTTAAACGGCCACACTGAAAGACAGTGTGAAAAGTAGGTCGCCATAGAGAGGGAAGAGATGTGATGTTGTTTAATATTGGGCTAACATTTCCAGCTTTGTCTTCTAGTTTCTCCTGTAAAAGATGTATTGCTGCATTCAGCTGCAAACACAAAAAGTGAAATCAATAGAGCATGCACACCAGTGACTACTGCCTGCTGAGCCAGCTAACATGTGGTTTAGCCCTCTACGAACTTGAATGGAGAGAACATAATTATAATGTGCGGCTCTTCTAGACTTTTCAAATGTTATTCCACCGAATGGCTCAAATTCTGATGGTGAAACAAGTCTATAAAAGAAATAAAATGGAAAAAACATTTGGACCACTGTGCATCACATGAGTTGTAATTACACGGTTGGGCCACTACGTCAAATTTTCTTCAAAACCTAGTGCACTTCCTAGGGGCTTTGTCCAAATACATTAAGATGTTAAGGACAAAAACACCAAGTGTGTATTTTGGGGGAAAAAAGGGCCTTCGGAGCAGTGGGCTTTTGTTTCTGGGATAGCGGGCTGTCGGACAAATGGGCTTTCAATCCAATAGGACATTTTTTAGGCTATTGGGGTTTTAGAATAATGGACCGTCGGAACAATGGGTAGTCCCTGAGGATGCAATAAAGGCTGATAGAAATGTTGCATTGTCTATTTCTGCTTCTACTACAGACAAAGCATTCATATCATGCTGCCACACACTTTCACATGGGGGATATGTGATGGCAACATCCTTGGTTCAAGTTTATATGGGGGCCATTGTTGCCTGTCACTCCCCTCTCTATGATCATAGCAACTGATGAAACACACCACAGGGTGTTATTAATTAAATAGAACCAAACAAACACACACCCACAAATTGCAGTCCCTAACTTCTGCTCATCAGTTTCCTGTTTTTCAAGTCACGAAAGGTACCAGGCTTCATCAGGCAAAAAAACACGTGGATCATTGGTCGAGCTTTATTCCGCACTGCACAATATTACTGCTAAGTCTGATTTTGTCTGTATCTGCCCACTGTCTGTGCATATCTGATGAATGTATTCATATTAATTTACACGCCTAGGGGAAAGACCAAAACTAGACACTAGATTTGTTAGGCTACACTTATGTAAAAGCTTTCAGCAACTGCTTGAGTCATTAAAGCATTAAAGTATCAAAGCAGATTTTGCTTATGTAAAATGCTGATGATTTAATTGCTTTTGCATGCAGTTGTTGCTAGGCCACATTATTGACACTCCATCTGGGAGTCTTGTGGGTCATTGATACAGATGATCTATTCAGTACAGGCTACATCTATATATATATGTGAGTATGTGAGAGATATGAGTGGGCTACCTCTCTCGGGGCAGACTGATGCGAGGCTGTTTGGGGCAGCGTTTGCTCAGGGTGAACAGCTTCCTGACGATCTTCTGGGCTTTGCCCAGGACCAGGGCAGTGCTGGACTCCATCTGGGCGTAGCGCTTTTGGAGGGACAAGTCAGCCGACCAAAACTTGGCGATCATGGACACATTCAAGAACCGGTCAGCGGGCAAGCGCTTCAGGAAGGCTTTGAATTCATCTGCAGGGAGTTTAACAGAAACAGGAAGGGGGCAGAAGAGGGGAAAGGGGAAGGTGGAGAAAAGAAAATTGAACAAAATTAGACCCTCTGAAGTAATTTATATGTTAACAATATCATTTTGAAGCATTGCAAACCTATTCACCACAGTCTATTTTATCCCTAGTGGCATGCATAGATAATGACTGAGGAGCTGAGGGAGTTCCATGTGTCATTAGAATACGAAAAAAGCTGTTATGTTCTAATGAACTGCCATTACAGAGTAAACACCTGTGCTTCAATCTGCAGTTATACTCATTCACCTCACTATTAGAAGCCCAGGGTATTCACAGTGGCATCATTTGCAAGATTGTCATTTTGAAACACTACTTATCTGACGATTGAAGGCATGGTGTCACATACAGATGGGCATTTTCATTTATATCATAATTCTTTCTTTAGAAGCCCAAAAGAAAAAATCCATAATCACAAACTGAATAGACCAATAAAAGCCTGTGGTAAAATGGTGAGAGGTTCTCTCCTATCTCGATTGTGTTCCCTGCTAAAATGCAAATGCCCCAAAAATGGTTATGGATGCAATTCATAGCAAATTCGGCAGCTGTCGCAGCCAGTGTGTGTCAAAACCAAACAATGGAAAAAGCAATATAAATCAATATTTGAATTCAGCAGTTAAAGGACTATAATTTCACATAAACCTAACATCACCTCTGCTGCCTCCAAAAACATGTCAGTGAAAACCATTAAAGCTTCCGAACCATGTTATTTATAATGACAGTAAGCATGGACATAAAATGCAGTAAAAATCAATACAAATGCTGAAATCAAACTGTTGAAACACAGGTTTTTGAATTGTAGAGCCCTAGATGGCAGCTCTCCACAGGTTAGAGCCAGAAACATCTCCAATAATTGATCACACACTTTGGCAAATGTCCACGTAGATTAGATTAGATTTAGGCTTTATTGTCTCAGAGAGAGACTGAAGACTGAGGCAAGCTCTCCTCCATTTCAAGGTCTTGTATCTCCGTCCATTTGGCAGTAATGTCAAGAGATGATTGAGGGAGAGATCAGTGTCGTTTGCTTTAGTGAGTGCTATGTGAGTGATGGCTCAGTCATTCATGGAGAGTTTGGGAGGGGGGAGGCGGTGGACTTTAGAAGCAGTATGTGTGATGCTAGGAAGTTGTTGGAGATGGTCAACATGGTGAAT